TGAAAAATGTGTATTATTCTACCTTTTATATAAGAAAGAAGGGAAATAAAGCATACATATATCTGTGTATCCTTACAAAAAAGAAACTCAGGAAGAATTCCATAACCATACTGAAGGTGAGGGGGTAGAAAAAAAGAACTAATCCAAGTATTTGACTATATACCCTCAGTCTTGGGCAGAGGACTGAAGAGAGAAATATAAATAAACCATGAAGATTTTAAATAGGATTATTTAATGTAGTGATATGTGCAAAGCAATTCTGAAATGATTTTAGATGTATTACAGGGTTCAGCAAATGAGTAAATGTGTTGATGTTGGGAAGTCAGCATTTTTACTGTGGTAGAAGGGACAAATATAGGATATAGGAAGGCAAGAAAGAACCCTGTGGGGATAAATTAGAAATGGAAGTGTTGATATGAACTTAATGACTTCTCACATATGTATACATATATGCATATCTACACATACATGTATATTTGTATGTATTTGCATATACATGCATATATATATATATATTTAGCTCTGTTCACTGAAAGACCTAAGATGTGGCAACAAAGATGCCACAGTAGTAACAAGCACAGCCATGACTTAGATCTTTGGTCTCTAATACTCATTCCCCACTAAAAGGAACCAGGACTTTTCCGAGAAATGGCTGCTTTCAAGAGTGGGCCATGATAGATACAAGATGAGCCTGGAACATCTTGCTAAGCCAGAAAGTAAAGAAGTGCTCAGAAAAAATGATGAGGGCATGTCACAAGGACATATGATCTAACTCAGAGGGGTTCTATCACCTAGATCTGAGGCTATTAGAACATCAAAATAATTAAGTTCAGTTATGAATTATAAGACTTTGAAAAATAAATTTGGGATTCCATACTGATAATAAATTTTAGGGAGAAGGAAGGTCTCTTGCTTACTGTGCTAGCATTAGAAAATCATCATTTTGCAGCTGTCATGATGAAGATTGGATCAGGCAAGAAACCAGTGGATGCTAAATCCAGGGAGAATTTTCTTTTTCTTTCTTTTTTTTTGCTTTTTATTTTGAGCTACTTTTAGACTTACAGAAAAGTTGTGTGTATCCCTCCCATAGCATCTTACATAACCTTAGAATTTTAAGAATCAAGAAATTAACATGGGTACAATACCATTAGCAAACCTAAAGACCCTATTCAGACTCTATATGGTAGTTTTTCCACTGATGTCATTTTTTTCCCCAAGAATCCCACTCAGCATACTACATTGCACTTGTTATTTTTCCCCGATTTTTGCAGTTTGCAACATTCCTCAGTCTGTCTTTGTTTCTTATGATCTTGATAACCCTGAGGAGTATTGATCAGTTATTTTGCTGAATGTCCCTCAGTTGGTGCCTGCCTGGTGTGTCTCATGATTGGACTGAGGTCTCATCCCTGGTAGAAGGACCCCAGAGATGGTGCCTTGCCTTTTTCAAGTGTATTGTATCACTGGGCTCATGATGTCTGTGTCATTCCTGGTGGTATTGACTTTGATAACGTGGTAATGGTAGTTGTTGCTGGGCTTTTCCATTATACAAGGGGAAAACTAGCAGGATATGTGCATGGTCAAAGTGTCTCCCTACAAACTGCTCACTGGTTGTAATTATAAAGTGGGAAAATCAAGCAAAACATTTGACTGAGTGACCAGAATTAATATTACCAGTGAGGGATAGATGGACATCACATGCCGCCAGGTGTGATGCTATGAGAAGGACACAGTATCACCTGTGTTCTGACTGAGAATGCATAAACTCAGTGTAATCATGAGGAAACATCAGACATTGCAAAATGAGGGCTGTTCTATTTAAAAAAAAAAAAGTCTATATCTGGACTGTGCCATTAACTTGATAGTTTCAGTCTACCAATTAAAAGAAAAATGTTAAAGCGTTCCAAAGTAACAAGGATACATAATCTTACTTCGTTTACTTTTGTTTTAAAATGCAGTAAATGCAGTAAAAAGCATAAAGTCAAAAAGGAAGAGGAACGATTATGTAAGTGGAGGGAGGAAGGAGAGCAGAGGACAGAGGGAGTAGAAGGGAACTGTTCGTAGAGTACCTGTGTGTTAATTCTCTCCTGTCATCTAATTGAATCCTCCTAACTGTCCTTGGAGGTAGGGAAATGGACACACATACAGTGAAATAACTTGACTGAGATTATGAAACCAGTAAATGGCATGGCCAGAATTCATCATCTGATTCTAGGTCCAGTTTTTTTTTTTTTTTCTTCCCCATGCCATACTGCCTTCTAATGAAACTGAAATTGTTTCAAGAAGAGTCAGGGTTTCAATGTTTATAGCAGCAGTGTCCACAACAGCCAAACTATGGAAAGAGCCCAGATGCCCATCGACAAATGAATGAATAAAGAAGATATGATATATATACTCAATGGAATACTAAGCCATCAAAAAAAGAAAAAAGAAATCTTGCCATTTGCAACGATGTGGATGGAATTGGAGTATTATGCTAAGCGAAATAAGTCAATCAGGAAAAGACAATTATATGATCTCACTCATATGTGGAATTTAAGAAAACAGGATCATGGGGAGGGGGGGAGACAAAATCAGAGAGGGAAACAAACCATAAGAGACTCTTAATCGTAGGAAACAAACTGAGGGTGGCTGGAGGGGGAAGGGGTAGAGGAATGGGGTAACTGGGTGCTGGACATGAAGGAGGACACATGATGTAATGAGCACTGGGTATTATATAAGACTAAGGAATCACTGATCTCTACCTCTGAAACCAATAATATATGTTAATTAATTGAATTTAAATTAAAAAAACCGGAAAAAAACCCCCAAATTTTAGAAATGCCTTTGGAAAACCTATAGGATTTTTTTGTTTCTTTTGAAAGGCCAAATATGAATTAGAAATTTGTGGTGTATTATTTTATTAAAAAAAATAAAAGTTAAAAATGAATTAAAATAAAATGAGGATAAAAAATTTTTTAAAAAGTAGAGTCGGGGTTTCTCAGCCTTTGCACTGTTCACGTTTCTGACTGGATAATTCTTTGTCGAGGGGTGTTGTCCTGTGCCTAAAACATCCTGTACGGTGTTTTAGGAGCATCCCTAGTCCTATCCATTAGATGATCGTAATACCCTTCCAGTTATGACAACTGAAAATGTCTCCAAGCATTGCCCAGTGTACTCTGGGGGTTGGGAGGAGGGACAAATTCAGCGCTGGTTGAGAACTACCGTTCTCTGAGGGCTATGTCAAGGGCTGAGTATTCTGCTGGCAGTTCCAGGTGGAGAAGTCAGGTACTTCCTTATTACCTATTTAAAAAGGGAGATATACAGACTCTAGTCAGAAAGACCAGGCCCATGTAGTTGCGGTAAAAAACTGGGGCCTTGCAATTTGTTTTAACAAGCCTCTGGGTGATTTAGATGCTTAATACCAGATTTTCACCATGTCAATGGCTGGTGCCACCATCTATCCAGTTAGTTGCTTAAGCCAGAAGTATAAGAGTTCTTGATTTCTTTTTCTTCAGCACCACCCCCTTTTCACTTCTAAACCATGTGGGTGGAGGTCTGTCTTAGTCCATTCAGGCTGCTATAATACGACAGGGGCGCTTGGGTGGCTCAGATGGTTAAGCGTCTGCCTTCGACTCAGGTCGTGATCTCCAGGTCCTGGGATGGAGCCCCACGTCGGGCTCCCGGCTCAGTGGGGAGTCTGCTTCTCCCTCTCCCTCTGCCTCTCCCCCTGCTTGTGTGTTCTCTCTCTCTCTCTCTCTAATGAATAAGTAAAATCTTTTAAAAAAAAGAAAAGAAAATATGACAGACTGGGTGGCTTATAAAGGAGGAACATTTATTTCTCATGGTTCTGAGGCTAGAAGTCGGAGATGAGAGTGCCAGTATGGTCAGATGAAGGCCCTCTTCTGTCTGGTTTGCACGCTTCATGTTGTATCCTTACATGGTGGAAGGGGCTAGAGAGCTCTGTGGGATCTCTTATAAGGGGACTAATCCCATTCATGAGAGTTCTACCCTCATGACCTAATTATCTCCAAAGGTCCCACCTCCAAATACTGTCACATTGGGCTTTAGGATTCCAACATGTGCATTTAGGGGAGGACATAAACATTCAGACTACAGCAAAGTCCTATTAATTCGAACCCTCAAATATATCTTCAGTCTGCTTTTCTTCATCTTCTTTATTAGTTTGCCAGGGCTGCCGATTATAAAAGTAGCACAAACTGAGTAGCTTAAACAAAAATTTATTTTTATAGTTCTGGAGATTCGAAGTCCAAGATCACAGTGCTGGCAGTGTTAGTTTCTTTGAGGCTGTGAGAATCTCACCTAGCTCCTGGTGGTTTGCTGACAATTTTTGGTGTTCCTTACCTTCTATCACCCTGCTCTCTGCCTTCATTTTCACACGGCCCACTTGTTGTGCATGTGTCTCTGTGTCCAAGATTCCCTTTATAATGATAGTCCTATTCACACCAACTGTAATGACCTCAACTTAACTAACTACATTTGCAAAACCCTATTTTCAAATAAGGTCACATTCTGAGGTCCTGGGGATTAGAACTCCAACATGAATGGTGGTGATGGGGGGGGAACTTTAAAAGTTCAACCAGTAATATCTCCCCTGCTATTTGGGCTAGGCCACTATCATATCTCACTTTTGAACACTATAGCAGTCTCCTAACATATCCCTGTTTCACTCTTAAGCCTCCCACAAGCCATTCTCTACATAAGGAGCAAGAGTGATTAAAAAAAAAAGAAAGAAAGAAAGTATCCTATCACTATGCTCTTTTCTCTTTAGTAAGTTCTGTTGTACTTAGACAATTGTAGAGTGAGGATACGAATAAATTTCAGTCTTGACAGCCCTGTATCATGTTAAGTTCTACCCTGCTCTATCTAAATCAGTGATATTTGTGATACCTGAAGTCTCTGAAGGGTATGAACCTGACAGATGATTCATATTGGGAATTTCGGTCATTGGGGTAGAGAAATTGTTGCCAGAAACTTGTAGCTTTTTCTTTCTTTGATTGCAGTTGGCTAATCTCCTTCAGAGTCAGGCAGTGAAAGGAAAAGCTGCTGGAGCACTCCTGCGAGCCATCTTCAAAGGTAATAATTAATGCCACTTCTACCTGCCTGGGTTTGTTAGATTTGTTTATTTTGGGCGCATATTGCTGCTTTTCTTACTTTTGAAGCCACACTGAGACTTCCTGTGTTTGGGGGTTTTTACAAAATCAACTAAAGCAGCAGTCTCCTTTCTTAGGGACTCAAATAATTTTACTTAAGGGGATTGAAGTGGGCACTTGAGATTGTATCGCTGGTTTGGGGCCTATAAAGGATGCATTTCATAAAATGCACTTTGGTTTACTCGTGCTTTTAAAATTGTGGAGAAGAGAACAGCAATGTTTACTACTTAACCTGTGCTTAACAAGGGTCAAAGGAGCTCTGGGGTTTAATGACTTGGAATATCTCTGTTGACTTCTATATTACGTTACCACCAACACTGAGTGAGGATGATGATTTCTCCATATCCTTGTCAACCCTTGTTACTGTCTGTCTTTTTCATTGTAGCCATAGTAGGGAGTGTGAAGTGGTATCTCACTATTGTTTTGATAAGCATTTCCCTGATGGCTGATGATGTTGAGCATCCTTTCATGTGCTTACTGGCCATTTCTGTATCTTCTTTGGAGAACTGTCTGTTCAGATCATTTGCACTTTAAAAAATTGGGTTGTCTTCTTATTATTGAGTTGTAATAGTTCTTTATATGTTCTAGATACATGTCCCTTATTAAATATATGGTTTGCAAAAATTTTCTCCCATTCGGAGTTGTTTTTCACTTTTTTGATAGTATGCTTTGAAGCATAAAGTTTTTTGACGTCCATTTTATTTTCTTATAGCTTGTGCTTTGAGTGTTTTATCTAAGAAACCGTTGCTTAGTCCAAAGTCATGAAGATTTAAACCTATGTTTTCTTTTCAAAGTTTTATAGCCTTAGCTTTTACATTTAGATCTTTGATCCATTTTGAATTTATTTTTGTATATGGTGTGAGGTAGGAGTCCAACATCATCTTTTCTTGTTTTCAGTAGCACCCTTACTGAAAATCAATTGCCCATAAATGTGAGGGTTTATATCTAGACTCACAGTTCTAGTCTCTTAATCTATATGTCTCCTTATGTCGGCACCACACTGTCTTGATTACTATAATATTGTAGTAAGTTATAAAATTGGGAAGTTTAAGTCCTCCAACTTTGTTTTTCTTCTTCAGGATTATTTTGGATATTCTGGGTCCCTTGTGTTTCCATATGAATTTTAAGTCAGCTTGTCAGTTTCTGAAGAAAAGGAAGCTGGGGTTTTAGTAGGGATTGTGTTGAATCTTTATGAATTTGACTAGTATTGCTATCTTAGCATAAGTCTTTCGTTACATGAACATGGGATGTCTTTCCATTTACTTAGGTTCTCTTTATTTCTTTCAGTGATATTTTATAGTCTTCAGAATACAAGCCTTATACATACTTTTCTTAAATTTATTTCTAAGTATTTTTTTGATGCTTTTGTAAATGGAATTTTCTTAATTTAGTCATCTAATTGTTCACTGTTAGTATATAGAAATGCATGGGGCACCTGGGTGGCTCAGTCGGTTAAGTGGCTGCCCTTGGCTCAGGTCATGATCCCAGGGTCCTGGG